GGGAATTCGAACACGCGACCATCAGATTGCGAGTCGAGTGTCTTAACCACCTGGCCATGCCGGTCCAGTAACAAAGGAAAGCAGCTAGTCAACATTACCAACTACGAACTCTGGATCTACTATTTAGCAACTAATAATGGGACTAACCATCACGGCAATAAGGGCGAGCATTTTCGAGGATGGGATTCAGATTACGATTCAAGTGTCCCAACCACCAGTCTGTTAAGTTATGAACAATATTCAAATATTCACGCATGTACGCAAGGGGAGGGGCTAGGACGAACACCCTGTGATGTAAAAAAATTATATTCACAGTCACCATATACGCAGAATGGGCATATTAATTGATGTCAGGTTCTTTCCAGACCTTTCTCTCTCCCTATATCGTGGCCTGGCATGGCCAGGTGGTTAGGGCGCTTAAATCGCAATCTGAGGGTCGCAGGCTCGAAGCTCCGTCCCACCAAACATGCTCACCTTTTCAACTGTGGGGCGCTATAATGTGATGGTCAATCCCACTATTTGTTGGTATAATAATAGCCCAAGAGTTGGTGGCAGGTGGTAATGATAAGTTCTTTCCCTCTAGTCTTTCACTGCTACATTAGGTACTGCTAGCACAGATAGTCCTAGTGTAGCTTTGCGTGAAATTCAAAATAAACTCTCCCACTTGATGAAAGTTAAGAACTTCAACTTCGAGTGCAAATGCAACATATCTTCTCCACGAAATTCCAACATGGCCAATTTTCACAGCAGAAAAATGGTGAAAAATATAGAAAACGGGCAAGTCCAACATTTTTGTTTGTCAGTGTTTGTTGCCTGTAGAAAAGTATCTTTGTATCAAATTCCATATAAATTGGTCGAAACTATTTTGGGTTGTGTCATTCTGCTAACATGGCGGAACCTGACAGAAAGTGTGAAGGCTCATAATACTAAAATTCAGGTTTCAATATCACAATGAGCACAGCACATATAGCCGATTGTGTACCTTTGCGTTTAACAACAAACAAACTATACGTCTAGCTTAAAATATGGGGAACTGATCTGCGTACGTCATTGATTGTTATATTTGTAATAAGAACACCGTTAAGAAACTGTTAGTTTTACTACTACTACTACTAGTGTTAGTGTTATCTAAATTAACATACTGTATGTTATTTCTAAATTCCTTTATTTCTTGGATATTTTTTAAACTTAAAGAAAAACTCGACGATGTCTTTAATAAAGGTGTATACTCCCTTGTTGTAGTACTTATGGCTATGCATAATACAGTGTGTGTGATTTGCTTTTCAGGTCTTGAACGTTTATTAAGATTGTAATTATTATACCCATTTAAGTTTAATATGTTATTAATAATTTTTTACTTCAAGGAGAGAGGAAACCCGAGTAAGCATATAGAATAGTGTAAGTTTCACTATATGTTGAGAAACCTTGGTAATTTCCTGTTAGTGTTACTTAAAGCTCGACAGGAAGTCGAAAAGTAGTAGTGGAGTGTTACTAATCTAGTTCTAGTGTACATAAATCCAAAAGAGATTACCTTATATTTGAAGCTTTAGAAAGTTTAGTTTTCTGAAATTGTTAATTAATATTTTTCAAAAGTTTTAATGTTATTGATGATTTATTTTATATAAAAATTCTTATTGGTGTAAAAACAGAAAGCTACAATTTAACTATTTTTGAGAACAGGAAGTTTGGTAAACTTGTGATCAAATAGTGAGCGATACAGAAAAAAGACCAAGTATTGCAGTACTGTTACTGTTAAACATAAAGGTAGTGCAATAGCTGCTAGAAATGGCTAGGTAAGTAGATATAACTTTATTTTTCTTATTTCAAAGCTTATAAAGCTTATTTCTTTTTGTTTTATAGTCTGATAATGTCTTGAAAAACATTTGTGTGACATATATCACTATCAGTCATGATTCTCAATTCTAAGGAAATTGAATCTGACTACCACTACCAGCTCCTGTTTCCTTACTCAAAAATAGATGCTATATAAAGCAAAATGGGGAAATGTGTTATAACTATAAGTATAAATAAAATGTGTCTTTCTTTTCATACTTCTAAAGTCAAAAGGAAATAATTTCTACTTCAAACTCTCTCTTCAATTTGTTTTAAAAAACAAAGATTCAAAAAGAGATGATGATTCTGTTAGATAATATATATAACTATTAAATGTAAAAACAATACAAAAAGATCCACTCATATTAACAGACATACAACTGGGCTTCATTATTAGAAAAAAAATTGGGTGTCTCCAACCTTTATCCCCCAGAAGAAATAAAAGCTATGAACATCAACATGTCCTGAAGAAAGAAGTACATTATAGAAAACACTTTCATAAAAGAAGCCTTTTTGAAGTTTACATGTTGAAATAACGACTGCTTATTGTTTCTGTACAGGATATTGCTATGTTATATAGGTATTAGGTAAATAACCATGCTTCAAGGTGACCAGTAACCTGCTATTGATTTCTCACTAACTAGGTTCAATATTTGAATTTTTTGTTTAGTATGTAAAAATTACTATGGTATCACAGCTTCTCTTATTTGTGATTACCTAAGAAGAAACTGGCTTGTTTCTAGAGAGTAGAATGTGTTGCATTCATCTTTCAGATATCATCCAAAAGTGTCTGTTCCGAGTAGTTCAGAAATCATTAGGACATGTAGAGTAATTGTCTGTGGCTTATCTAACAGTAATAAAATAATTTTTGTCTTTTTGTAAAAAAACATAAATTGCTTCCTTGTAGGATGAAGTTTATTGGATTTGGGTAGCCTCTAAAGTAATATAGTTAAGAAGTATATGTGTGTATAATACCTCTTACAAATAAAAAGTGTAGTCATATTCACCCAGTATTATTTCTACAACATGGTTGGTTTGGAAAAAAGTGACATTGTACATAATAGTGTATAATTTTCTAGTTCTTTCTACAAGAGTATTGTACTCTTTATACTTTTGAATTGGAACATTAAAGCAAACAACAATA